GTAACACATCCATAAACCAATACTAAATGTACAAGTTAGGAAACGCAGGTTTAAAACCATGCCCCAAAGAATTCCACCTCCATGCAGGTTCAGCATGCTGGTATCATGTAAGGAGGCAGCCATGCAGAACCATTCAGAGCCAGCCTAAGCCAGGTGACTGGGGTTTGTTCCAGGGCACTAAATTTTAAAGTACATAAATATGTTGAGTAATTATTTTAAGAGAAAGTGTTATTATGTGTTGACAGTTCATATCTTCCCTTACAGGATAGAAACAACTAAGCCATGCACTTGGTCAGCAGGCCTAAGTATTTAAAATAGGAAAGTACTCAGCACTACCCATCCCAAGCTATACCCCCTCCTGAACCACATCCTGAGAATCATTACACTTCGTGTTTGGAGGAGAAAGGCAGAAACCATCTCCCTTAATGCCAGGCCATCTATTCTGAGTGGGTTTCATCTTTATGGGGATAGAGTGGAGAGAAACCGGATGAGTATGGGTGGAGCTGTACATTTTTATTTCTACTTCTCACACTCGACTAGACCCCAGGTAGCTGCAAGGTGGGGCTTGGTTGTGCTTTGTACACTGTGGCCTTGGGCAAGCTGTCCAGGTGGCCTGGTTTGGCTTGATCACTCGGGAGGACAGGAAAAAAAAAAAGGCAGAAAATATACCTTCTACAACTGGCCTGGCCTCCTGTTAAAGTTCTGTGGAGGATGTTTTTATATCAAAGTCATTATAGAAGTTTTGAGACAGACTGTATTATGGTCCAATGTTTCAGTTCCAAGAAATATAGTCATCATCATCCTTTCTGATTCACCTGTGTAAGTTTCTACGTGCTCAGCTAATTGGTGTTGCTGAGAGAGCTTCAGTTGTTTCCATCCGCACAGATTTTACATTTCGTGATTATTGTGTATCTCAAAACTTTTGTAATGACCCACGTAGAACATCAACTTACAGTGAAAACAAATCTTACCCATGGGAGTAGCATAAATAAATAACCTTTGTTGATTTATTCAAGAGTAAGCAAAAATCCCCCTCCACTCTGTTCTTTTAGCAAGCCCATACACATTCCAATGAAAAGTTCATGGTTTACCTAATATAGATGTCGCCCATATTAGGCTGAATTTTGCAGTGGTTATTACACAAAGTATAGGCTCCTGAGGGTCCCTGTTATACCCCAAGCACCAACATTTCTAGTTATGGACTATCTTTTCCTAAAATCAAAGCAGAGAATAGTTTTTCATACCATCATCCTGCCCACTGTTCCCTACTTGCCTTGTTCCCAGACCCAAGAGTGTGAGTGGAAGCTCCATTTTGGACTTATGGGTTAGAGGATGGTGCCCATCTGTAAAATGGTGGTAGAAATGTGGGTGGTGATGAGTGCAGTTTGTTGTAAATGTGATATTTCTGGAGCCAAAGGGGGTATTTCTGTTCTGTATATGTTCTGAACTTCAAGAAAATAAGGCAGCAGACTAAAGAAATTAGTTTTGTGTATAAGCAGCGCTGTTCAAATTCTTCCTTTCCTTTCTGGGGCCTTCTGGTTTGGTTTCAAGGAGAGTGTTCAGGAGGTAACAGCAAATATGTGTTTTCCCATAGACTGGTGAGCCCAGGATGGGCCACCTGGCTTATTGTGCGTGTACACTAATTTGGTTTATAAAGTCATTTGCATTGTATATGTTGTT